CCATAGCAACTGGGTAGGTGCCTGAAGTCAATGAGAGATGCTGGGTTTTCAGTACTTTTAAAAGTCAGACCCACTTAATTACAGATTCAAAGCCTAACTTTAGGAATCTCTTTTCCAAAATCTTGGCACAAGAGACTACTAATTGGATGAATAAACTAATGTTCAGAGTACATACTCTAAAGCACAGTTCTGAAGTAACAGAAACACAAACATGAATAAATATAACTCAGAAATAACAATATCTAAGGGAAAAGTACACTAGGAAATAAAATATAAAATGATTATAGGTTACTGAAAAAAAGGCATTTTATCTGAGATAAATGTGTAACAATTCACAAATACTTTTTGGGCTGCAAATTTGCAGGGGGGGTATAAAAATCATATTTGCTACTACAAATGACAGCATTTCCCGATGAAAAATTAACGGACTTTCATGTAAATATTTCTGCATGTGAGCGTGTGAAAGTGAAAATCAATAGATCTAGTTATAAAAATGGGCTTTCATGAAAACTCCAGATCTGAGCCCTGAACTATGGGGAAGGGAGTGAGATCAAATTTTGCAACTGAATTTTGCAGCCAAGGTTCCATCTCCGTTTTCAAGTTCCACATAGAATGGAACTGTGTTGCTAAATGTTGACCACTTTTGCTCTTAGCAGATTCTCAGATGATTTAAACTCTTTTGGTCTTCGTTACTGGAAAAGCAACCTTCATCTTGCTCAGAAGCCTGCTCTAGTAGGATTCTGAAACTTTCAACCACAGTCTACGTGTTTTAGCATCCTGACACCAGCTGCTCAACAAAAATATTCACTTTTATATTTTGGTTTTGACCTGCCCAGTGCATTTCTGACATCTAGACACATTTCATTCAGGTTATGTTCCACATTGTCACCTTTTAAAGTTTCAGTTTCTAGTCATAGAATCACTGAATGACAGATTTCTGTGCCTATGTTCCTACTGATTGAAATGAATAGCTTATCTCAAAATGCCTTATCTGTTTTTAAGTGACATCTTAAAGTTTTCTTGTTCACTGTTGCATTTTTATCAGTTTTATCAGTAATGATAATTGTTTTTGTTCTATACACCTTTCTGCACTTTGAAACCAATGATGTGTAGAGTGCTACATAAAAAGCAGTAGTACTATATATTTTTTGTGTAGGATTATACAATTTTAGATTCCAATTGCAGTAAACAAATTACGTACACATTCAGTATGAATACTTTTGAGTACATTTTGTTTGCACAGTAGGGAAGCAATGCACAGTATTGATTCACATACCATTTGAATATATTGTTCATGAAAAAGAAATACACTGCTAAGATCTGAATCCTGGTCATTTGTACAACTTGTGAGCAGAAGAACTGTGAAGGGGTCAGAAACAGGTCCTCTTAATCTGGAGACAAGGTGTGGATCATCTACACATACCCTAAAACTGAAGAAGCAGCTAAGGAAGATATGCCTATACGTTAGGAGCTAGAGATCTGAACCTGGCAGACCCGCTCACTGGCGAGGGTCCACAGCTGGGGGTAGGGGAACTCGGGCCCTCCCTACTCCACCAGGTTCCAAACCAGGGCCCGATGAACAACAGTTCCAATATGTGACCTAGTGTGGGTGCCCTTATACTTGTTCCCTGGGCTCCAGTTTTGGTTCGTCCATCTTTGCCACTGGTCGGTTTCTGGATTACCCCTGAAGTTCTCTCTAATAGCATGCTGGATCACCACACTTTCTCCATCAGCATGGCTTGCTATTCCTGCCTCTGTAGAGTGAAGGGCCTGTGGCAGCTTGTCAGTGGAGCATGGTCTCAACTGTGTGGAGCCCCAGCAGCTTCTCTGCAGGAGCTTGCAGCACATGTCTTCTCCTCTGCTCTGTCTGCCCAGACTGAGAGGAGTTGCTCCCTTTTGAGCCACACCTCCAATGTGAGCTTGCCCAGCAGGAGTGGCTGGACAGCACCTTCTGGGCCCAGAGCTTCTCTGTGAAGACCATCAGTTCACCAGCGTGGACCTCGTACAACCCATCACACTACACCAGAGCTAGAGGTGTAATATCCAGCTTGAGGAGACATACCTGCACTAGTACTGATCAAGCTAGCTTGCTAATAATAGCAGTGTAGCTATCAGTGTACAGGTTGTGGGACAGGTTAGATGTCCTGAATACACACTACTACTAGTGTTTCAGATGGGACTGTATTCAGGGGAGCTAGCTATGCTGCTATTTGTAGTCCACTAGCTCAGTCAGAACTAGCATGAGTACATCTGTCCAAGCTAGAAATTACACCTCAGCTCCAGTGCAGACATACTCTTAGAGAATGAGAAGCTAACTAGTCATGTCATTGACCTCCCCCATGCTTTTAACAACACAAAGGGAAGGCTGAGTTGCTATTTATTTTGTCAAGCTCTCTAGAGTTCAGTATAAACAATTACTATTTCCTTATTTCATCATATTTACATGCTAGTGAAAGAAAACATAAGTTTAAAAAATTTGCTATACTATATTGTCTCTATAATGTGTTATATATGTTAAACACCTCTGCAAGCCATGTACAGCTAGTGAGACTTTATTCTAGTAAGAAGGGTTACATATATTTTCTTGGAAATGCTCAGAGCCTTCATAAAAAAATCAAATCCCTATATTTCTCCATAAACATAAGCAAAAGGACAGAGCACCAGTCACCTTAGGTCAAGAGTTTGAATCCAGCTTAGGTCAGGGATGAGAGAAAATCATTGCTATCTGACTACTGTTTGTTAACCTACATGGAATGAGTTCATCATCACAGTCCACTTCCAAATGCACAGGTGTTTGCATCAGAAAAACCCAATAGTGTTAGTCATGATGGCACTAATTATCAGCATTGTTGGGAGTCCAACAGAGAAGCAAATAGGTCATTTTTATGCCTATCATTTCACTTTTAATTATGGTCCCTCCAAGTTAGGGTTGAGGCACATTAGAGAGACTAGAACCACATTAACATGGGGAAATGCTTTCTACTGCACTCATTCTGCAACAGATCTTTAGTAAGGGATATTAGATGGGTGGGATCTGAGTTACCCAGGAAAGAATTTTCTGTAGTATCTGCCTGGTGAATCTTGCCCATATGCTCAGGGTTTAGCTGATTGCCATATTTGGGGTCGGGACGGAATTTTCCTCCAGGGCAGATTGGAAGAGGCCCTGGAGGTTTTTCGCCTTCCTCTGTAGCATGGGGCACGGGTCACTTGCTGGAGGATTCTCTGCTCCTTGAACTCTTTAAACCACGATTTGAGGACTTCAATAGCTCAGACATAGGTGAGAGGTTTTTCGCAGGAGTGGGTGGGTGAAATTCTGTGGCCTGTGTTGTGCAGGAGGTCAGACTAGATGATCATAATGGTCCCTTCTGACCTTAGTATCTAGGAATCTATGAATCTACCATTTGCCATTTAAATTATTATTATTTATACCACACAACGAACAAGCTTTCTGGTTGCTTGGCTAAACAAAAGTACTTTCAAGCTAATATTGGACATAACATCACTGGGTTGGGGGGAAACAACAGTATGGAGGAGACTGCAGGAGGAAAGACGGGGGCATCTCATCAGTGAGATAATATTATAACTCATTGAGGGCTAATGTACTATTTGGTGGAAATCTGTTCCATTTCCAGATCATCACAAATTAATATCTCTGCACACTCTTTTGTTAACTAGGCCTCACAACAACTGTGGGTCCTGAGGAGTAATTACAGTGATCAGATCAGTGTCCTTGTGACCTAGTTTAGGAAGGGGATTCCTCATGTAAAGAGTTCAGCATGGAATCAGCCCAGAAACAGTTTTTGGAGAAGCAGATAAGCCAGGCATCAAGAAAGAAACAAAAGAATGTTGTGTTTGACAGTAAGTGGGGGAAACGGAGAAGATTTCAGAGGACAGATAAGGAGTTTTGTTTTGCACATATTAAATTTAAGTTGATGGCAATACATCAGAAGTAGATGCGAGATTAAACCATGTGAGATGCAGGACTAAGTGAGGAGTGTCAGATAAAGAGTAGAGAGGTAGCTCTGGTCATCTTCAATGTACAGACAGTAGCTGGGAGTATGTGAGCAGATGAGATCACCCAGAGAAAAGGCATACAAATCAGAAGAAGGAGCCAAAAACAGAGCTCTGCCAGACTCCACAGTAAAAGGGAGAATAGAGGAGAAGCCACCTAAAAGACGCTGGAAGAGTGATGAGAGAAGGATAACCAGTAGAAGACTATAAAAAAAGCAAGAAAGGATAAGTTGCTGAGGAAGAGGATATGATCAACACTGTTAAACACAGCTAAAAAATTAAGGAGGATAAGGATGGAGTAGAGGTCTGTAGATTTGGTCAAGAAAGGCTTGTTAGAAATCTTGTGTGAGCAGTTTTGGTGGAGTGGAAAGGGTGGAAGCCAGACTGGGGGCAGGGGATCCTGGATGGAGATGATGGAAAGAAACTCAGGTAAAGAGCTATAAATGGCTCATCCAGTGCGTTTGGAGAGGAAAGGAAAGAAGGAAGGAGAATAGCTGGAGAGAGAAATAGGACTGAGGATGGGGAAACCTTATCATGCTTGTATGTTGATGGAAAGAAGCCAGAGGAGAATGACAAGTTAATTAGAAGAGAAGAGGAGAGATTAAAAGTGGGGGTAAGAGAGTTCAGATGGGAGAGGAATAGGGTCAAAGAGGTAGGTGGAGCACTTGAGGAGAGCAGGCAAAAAGAGGTCAGTGCCAGTTATTTGGAAGAAGAAGGAAAAGGTCTGAGAAAGGCTGAGGGAAGATAGAGGAAGGGAGATTGAGATCTGGAAGAAGAGAGATCACAATCATCTTGTTTGAAAAACAAGAAAAAATTGCATGGAGAGGGAGAGAGGTGTGTGACTAACATTTTAAGAGGGAGTTTGCAGTTAAGCAATTTTAAAACCATTTAAAAACAAACAGACTTGCCATGGCCTCTGATGAGACATTAAGATATAGTATTAACTGCCATGTATCACACACAATAAGAGTATTTTCACTAATACTCACTTTTTCAGCTTTTCTCTAATCTTTGGCTCTTTAATCTCATTGTGAAGATCCTCAAACGTCTCAACTGAGGTTAAATTACAGAAAACCCTATAGTCAACGTACGGAGGAATCCCATGGTCACGCCCCCTCTGGATATTCGTAGCTGCCAGATCCAGAGCCACTGAGTGTGCCATGGAGAAAAGCCTCTCGGTCAGCTCCAGGTTCAAAAGCTGAGAAGGTACTCGCATTTTACCAGCAACACCAAAAAGACCACGCAGAAGTGGATCAATGCCACCTTCCTGGATTATCCGGAATGGTGAAAAGAAAGCTTTGTGAAGTGAAAGGTGCCCTTGTGAGATTTCTCCAAAGGTCTCATTCAAACGATAAAGAATCGGATTGATCAATGTGTGGCCAAACCTAAAAGCTGCAGTTGCAAAGGCATTAATAATCCCGGCATTGACATTGGGGTTATAGCCTTTGTAGTCACCCATCATCTTCATGCCGTGGTCACCAAGGATCTTGGGTAGCCAGTGGCTATAGGTAATATGTTGCATCTGTGCACCAACAATCTTTCTGGCTTCATTGTAAATAGTATCTCCATCCCAGTGTGGGTTCATTTTCAACAGTGCCCTTGCTATGCGGTTATGTTCACGGAACCACAAAGTGTGCATGGCTGTGAGGCCCAGCTGCTCATTCGCTCGATGATCTCCTGCAAGGAAGCAAGGTAAGGAGCTTTCATTTTCATCTCTCGTACATTCAGTTGGGGGACCTGTGGCAAATGGTAATAAGTGCTTTCCAGAAGATGGGACAAGCAGGCCTTCCTTGAGGAGACCATGTTGATTTGTATTATCCCTTAACTCTTCTGACTCCCTGTCAGAGCTTGCATAAACATTAGAAGCATCGATATATGATGTTAGATGGTTTATCTGCTCCCTTGCATAGACTGAATTCATTATTAAAGAAGTCATCCCACTACCGCAAACTGGGCTTGAGCGAACAAAGAACATACACTTAGAATTTGTCACTCGGGGATCATTCTGAGGAATAATGATGGGGAAGCAAGGTGGATCATTAGTACACACTGAGCTACAAGACTGTCCATCAGAAAAACGAGACATACTCAGTGCAGGCACTGTCTGATCCAAGTCATGGTCTAAAAGCTGGCCCCACTGCATAAGCATATGAGTGTACCTATCATCAGGAGTTATGGTCTCTGTACCAATCATTTCTATTGAAATAAGCCTTGGTAGTGGAAGAGGATAGCCATTATACAAAGAGTCATGACTGACACTCCTGGGTAAGTTAAAGCCATTTTCGTACACAGGTTTAAGGATCCGTTCGAAAGCAATCAAAGAGGCACCCCACATTGGGTGCTGTAGGTTGTTGCATGTTCCATCGTAGCTTCTGTACTTTTGATGGAAACAGATGTCAGAGCAGTTTGGGAAACGCCTGTGAGCTGTACATCCAGAGAGATTGGCAATCAGACTGAGGTAGTGTGGGGAAACCAGGTCATTGTAGCGAAACTCTGAAACACAACATTTGAAGAAATTAATTGATCTCATATAAAAGAGAAGTGTAAGAATCCATATAAGATTCTTAAGTTCAATATTAATTAATGGTGTTTATACCTGGATAGAAGTCTCTTTATCATAAAGTGTTTGTCATGATATAGGCCTTACTGAATTTCTGATAGACTGTGGGTCTGCTCCTGCTCCTGGAGAAGTTAATGGCAAATCTCCTATTGATTTAAACAGGGGGCAGGAATGGGTTGTGGAGGAAACACTGAAGTGATAGCAACAACAGCTAAAATGCGGCGTGATGTGAATACCAGAGAGGGCTAAAAAATAATATACAGAAATGCTAAAACTATATAAAATAGGTCTGAAATATGGGCAGGTAACAACCAACCAATATTTAAGATGGAAAACGCAAGCTAATATAGCTGGAAGATGAGGAGGAGGGAGAGAAGCCTTATCAAGGGGAGGCAGATATCTGGAAGGCAGTAATGCTGAAAGAGGACTAAGAGTGATAGTGCAAATTAAATTTCAGCTAGCAATGCAATATGAGAGCAAAAAAAATTATTTTGTTTCTGTTTTTAAAGCAGAGACATTGTGTCATGGACTAAGGAGGTAATAATCGCTGATGAAACCAGACCGAGAATACTGCATTTAGTTCTTGAACCTGAATGACAGAAAGTTTTAGATAAACTGGAGAAAATTCAGAGAAGAACAACTGACAATATTTAAAGGGCTGAAGGGATTGATTTATGAAGAAAGATAAAAAGAAACATAATAGCTTGGCCAAACAAAGGCTAAGGGAGATATTAGAACTGTCTACAAGTATTTGGCGGATAGAAACATTAAAGAGAAAGAATGCACCAGGGGATGAGAATAAACTGATAGGAGGAAACTGGGCAAAGGAAAAACAGGCTGAACATTGGAAAATCGCCTTTAAACAGAAAAATATATTAGCCTATAGAAGACACTCCACTGAAGGTGGTGAATGATCCACCATTTCAGTAATTTAAAACTGAACTGAATAAATTAATAAAGCACTGGAAAGTATACTGTAGGAATGAATCTAGGATTGGCATGGGATAGACTACTGGTAAAATGTTTTTATATCCTCTCCATAGCTAATTTATCCAGTTCCATAAACCACACAAAAATACCCTGCAGAAATCAGAACGTTCTTTCAGTAATTTATAATATTTTCACTACTGAAAACAGTCCTCTAAATCTCTTCCACACATTTCCATTGTAGCTCATTGTACATCAGTGCCACACTCTGCCCACAATAAATTTCTCTTGTAATAAACTCCATTATAAAATGTACGTTACTAAGAAACTGGGTAAAGGGGAGACTACAGCAGGTCATACTGAAAGGTGTACTGTCAGTGTGGAGGGAGGTTCCTAGTGGAGTTTCTCAGAGATTGGTCTTGTGACCAATCTTATTTAACATTTTAATTAATAAGCTTAGCACAAAAACGGGAGTATGCTAATAAAATTTGTGGATGACTCAGAGTTGGGAAACATTGCCAATACAAAGGAGGACCAGAATATCATATAAGATTTGGATGACCTTGAAAACTGGAGTAATAGAAATGGGATGAAATTTAATAGTGCAAAGTGCAAGGTCATGAACTTAGGTAGTTGTGACAGAATGTACTCTTGTGTCCACATCCTGAACACTATTGCAATAATCTTTGTATAAAGTATGCCTTGTGAGATATTTAAAAACTCAGTTTGGTGACCAGTAATATCATGGCAAAATGCATATAGCAGTGTTATATGTGAAGCTGATAGGCCATTACTTGCTAAGTGGCCATTCTTTGGCAGGAAAGGGGACAAGGGCAAACAAAATCTACATCTTAGCAAAGAAACAGCATGGAGTTGCCTTCCACACAGACTGCCTGTTGCCTTTCTCCCAGCTGGAAATGCTTCTCAAAACAGACAACAAACTATAAAAAGACACCCCAACGCACCCCCTCTTCCTCCCTTTCTGTCCATCGATTCACTGCACAAAATGGGACAAAGGAGCAGCCATTAAACAGAAGAAGGGGTCCTGGCCTAAGAAGTTTAGCCAGTAAGACTATTGAAAGCATGTGGAGAGAAAAACTTCGCTTTGACTTTAACATAGTTTGGTAAGGTAGGCATTAGTTGTGTTTTCTCTTTATTTTTCTTGTAACAATTTCTGACTTTTATGCCTCATTACTTGTATTCACTTAAAATCTATCCCTCTGTAGTTAATAATCTTGCTTTATTGTTTTATCTAATCCGGTGTGTTTAAATTGAAATGTCTGAAGAACTAGTAAGATGGCATAGTATTATCTTAAATAAATAATGGACTTAACATACTTGTATTGTCCTGGAGAGGGCTGTGCAGTACAGGACATATATTTCTGGGGGGAAATCTGAGACTGACAGTGTGTTCTGGTCACCTTGCAGTATAACCAAGGCTGGTGAGAGCCAAGGTGTTGCTGGTGGGCTGCAACACACACAGAGACATAGCTGGAGGTTGTTTGTGAGAGGTCCAAACTGGAGGCTACAGCTGCAAAGCAATGGAAAAGGAACCCCATGTCATAAATATAAAGGGAAGGGTAACCACCTTTCTGTCCACAGTGCTATAAAATCCCTCCTGGCCAGAGGCAAAACCATTTCACCAGTAAAGAGTTAAGAAGCTAGGATAACCTCGCTGGCACCTGACCCAAAATGACCAATGAAATCTAAGGGGGACCAATGAGGGGACAAGATACTTTCAAAGCTGGGGGTAGGAGGGGGTGGAACAAAGGGTTTGTCTGTCTGTGTGATGATTTTGCCGGGAACATATCAGGAATGCAGCCTTACAACTCCTGTTAAGTTAGTAAGTAATCTAGCTAGAAATGCGTTAGATTTCCTTTTGTTTAATGGCTGGTAAAATAAGCTGTGCTGGATGGAATGTATATTCCTGGTTTTGTGTCTTTTTGTAATTTAAGGTTTTGCTTAGAGAGATTCTGTATGTTTCGAATCTGATTACCCTGTAAGGTATTTATCATCCTGATTTTACAGAGGTGATTCTTTCACCTTTTCTTTAATTAAAATTCTTTTAAGAACCTGGTTGATTTTTCATTGTTCTTAAGATCCAAGGGTCTGTGTTCACCTGTACAAATTGGTGAGGATTCTTATCAAGCCTTCCCCAGGAAAGGGGGTGTAGGGATTAGGGGGATATTTTGGGGGAAGATGTCTCCAAGTGGGCTTTTCCCCTGTTCTTTGTTTAAAACACTTGGTGGTGGGAGCATACAGTTAAAGGACAAGACAAAGTTTGTACCTTGGGGAAGTTTTAACCTAAGCTGGTAAGAATAAGCTTAAAGGTCTTTCATGCAGGTCCCCACATCTGTACCCTAGAGTTCAGAGTGGGGAAGGAACCTTGACACCCCATCTTAGAGGACAGAGTGATATGTCTACTCATTAGTCTGGACTGTACCATAGGTATGTCACAGTTATATTCTGCTATAAGTTGGGGATGTACCAGCTGGAAGCAACAGAGTAGGGGAAATACCTGGGTGTATTGGTTGATGACAGGATGACTATGAGCAGCTAATGTGATATGGCTGTGAAAAGGCTAATTAAATCTTAGGATGCATCCAGTGAGGTATTTCCAGTAGAGACAGGGAAGTATTATTACCATTATATAAGGCACTGGTGAGACCTGATGTGGAATACTGGGTGCAATTCTGGTTTCCCATGTTAAGAAAGACGAATTCAAACTGGAACAGATGCAGAGAAGGGCTACTAGGATGATTAGAGGAATGTAAAACCTACCATACGAGAGGAGACTTAAGGAACTTGGCTTGTTTAGCCTAACAAAAAGCAGGCTGAAGAGATATATGATTGCTTTCTATAAATATATCAGAGGGATAAGCACGAGGGAGGGAGAGGAGTTATTTAAGTTAATGGCCAATGTTGGTACAAGAATAAATGGATATAAACTGTCCATCAACAAGTTTAGGCATGAAATTAGATGTTTCTAATCGTAAGAGGAGAGGGTTTCTGTGTAACTTTGAAGCTGTGATGTACCCTGCATCTATTCCCCCTGTGTTTGAATCTGATCAACTCAGTGTTACACTGCCGTATGCCAAATAAAGATACCTGAGTGACGAAAGCTGGAGTCGAACTGAGTTCTTGGGAAACTGAGTGGAAAGAGGACTCAGAGGGAATCCCAACAAGGACTTCAGTAACTCAGCCAGAGGTTATGGCACTATTGTAAGAGTAGGTGGGTGAGGTTCTGTGCCCTGCAACTTATGGGAGATCAGACTAGATAATCATGATTGTCTGTTTTGACCTTAATGTCTATGAGTTAGCCACCTCTGCAACAGCTTCTCTTTTCCATTTATATCCCTGCCCCGGACTAGCCATGTGAGAGGTAGGGAAACTGGTAATGCCTCATATGCTGGGTTGGAAAGGAATACACCTCAAACTTTCTTTGCCTCTGATTAACTCTAAGTTATGATATAATGGAATGACAATATACAACCAATAGTTTACAATACAATACAACACAACACAACCAATTGGTCTAGTAGGACCAATTCTTTCAAACTACAATAGTGATTACTTGGATCCATCTCTACTTATATGAACTCTGTAGATGAATTGCATTTAAATTATAATTTAAAACATAATAGCAGTAAAGAATAAACTCTAAGGTAAATGAGAGGAAGGGTGCTTTGGAGCAAATTACCTGGAATAAGATAATAGAACATAATAAATTATTATTTTAATATTAACTACTCTGTACAGGAAAAAGAAAAGGAGTACTTGTGGCACCTTAGAGACTAACCAATTTATTTGAGCATAAGCTTTCGTGAGCTACAGCTCACTTCATCGGATGCATACTGTGGAAAGTGTAGAAGATCTTTTTATATACACACAAAGCATGAAAAAATACCTCCTCCCACCCCACTCTCCTGCTGGTAATAGCTTATCTAAAGTGATCACTCTCCTTACAATGTGTATGATAATCAAGGTGGGCCATTTCCAGCACAAA